GTCCCTACGGTCGAGGTAATCGGGGTATCCCAGGCTATCAGACTCGAAACTATGGGACCGAAACTCAAATTCCACATCCTTCACTTATGATGACGAATGACGCGCTTCCTCCTTTGTCAGACAATCCCATCCCGTAATGGCCATTAACTTTCCCAAATGTGGGTGTCTCCCCACTGACTTGGCCCCGTTTCAGATATCAAAAGTGTAAAGCGATCGAAAAACGTCCTCTCATGTCTGTATTGTTAGAAAATCTTTTTTCATGTTTATATTCTGGAATGAATGGAACCAATCCGGCAAAAGCGACTGGTCTACGTGATGGAATTCTCGTTTTCTGACTTTTCCGTGGCCTCTGCTAGGGAGAGGTGGAACAGAGTCGAAAACTTCTCAGGGTAAGAACGATTAATTTAGCTGAAGTATGTCTCGTACCTGTATAACACATTCTCCTTTCTCACAAAGAACAAGATCTGCTGGAGTAAGACTGGCTCCGTCAAGGACTAATAGCTTTGTCGGCTTGTCCACGAAAGCTACTCCTGGCGATAAATCGAAGTCGAATTTAATTCTGAAATTGGGAAAGTTATTGTTCCCATACTCCATAGTCAAAATCAGGTCAATACACCCAAACCTCACTACGAATCTTGCCCCCACGGCAGCCGGTGGGCACTTATCCCTGATGTCTGGAAGGAACTTATTATCCAATTACGCCAAAGGTTTTCATTTGCCAGTGGCATTTGGATGGGTTCCGGAGTTCCCATGTCAACATTGCGGTCTGGGCCGCCTTGCCTCATTTCCCAGGGCGAATAAATGGAATTACCGAGAGTCAGGCCGATATTATGGCCTGTAAGCGATATATTCACTAATTCGTTTGCACTCAATTGGGGGAGAAAATAAACGCCGGGATTCTTCTTTCTTTCAACTTTATAAACATATCTTACTTTCTCGGTTTGTCCAATTTTTCCAATGCTACACGAGTCCCTTCGAGCTCCACTTGTCGTCGTCTCTCCTTCTCCTCCTCAGTTTCGTCTCGATGAATCACTGAATGCAACTTGATGATTTTAGATCCAGTACAACTGGGTATTGTCACTTACCGAGTATGACGAAGTCACCGTCCTTGAGCACATCTCCAACTCGGTCTTCCGGGTCAATAAGAGAGTTACCTACGGTTCGACGTATTTCCTCGTATTCCTTCCCTCCTGGTGGTTTCACCATCGACGGACGTAGTCTTCGCATCTTGGCAACCGTGCGGAGAGCAACCTGAAGGAGTAAAAGAATTTCATTAAAAGTCAAGTTATCTAGAGGGGTAAGTGCTTGCAAGCGCATAAACGAGGCCCTTCAGATTCATTGTCCTCCCAGGATAGGAGATAGGGACCTTCGAGAGCTTTTAAGAGCCATAGCCAGGCTTTCCTAGAAAGTGGGTTTTTTCTACTCCGAGAGCAGATCTTTATGAAATCATCCTCTTCCCGGTCGGGGAGGTAAACCAAAAAATGACCCGTCAATGCTAAGGGGAGAAAAGTGATCACAAACAGTCATGGGAAGAAGCAGGAAGTAGTTGTATGAGGAGTTACCTTTAAATCCTAGAGGTTATTTCTGGAGTTTCGATCATACATGGAATGAGTTCCACTTGGAAATATTCATCGATTCTTTGCGAGCCCCAAGGGAGTTTACCTTGTTGATTTACCCACTATTGATTATTTACTATACATATTTACCGTTTTTAAACCTGACCAAATGAAATCTACCTAATTTTCTCTTAGAATGGTGGGTGTAAACCGTACATATCCAGTTAGAATATACAAAAGCAGAACTGCCTAGAAGCTACAGTATACTCTTCGAACTTACGGTATGTACGGATTCATCCTCCTGGCATGGAATCACTATACATTCGATTCCAATTTGGACTTGAAGTCGCATTCTTCCAGGGAAAGGAACACCTGTAATTCTTCAATAGGAGAACTATTCCACAGTTCTTATACGGTAAAATGGCTGTGCTGCGCGAAAATCTTATCAATCAAGACGGTCAGATAAATAGAAATGGAAAAAGTTGTAGATAAATCAAACATTGACGATGGACGATACTCAGTCAATCATCTAAGAACGTGCAAAAGGTGACAATTAAACCATTCACAAGGTTCTCTCAATCGTTTCCGGTTTCCAGGGACCTCCTCGGACAGATAGCTCAGAGTCAAAATGAAGTGGCGATTGATTGGAGGAATCAGAGAAGGAACTGTTCAGGGAGGAACGCCCGTATGAGCGAAGTTCGCGCGTTCCCCGTCTCTGACTATCCTTTATACGGTAGTGTGGTGAAGTATGTAATCTTGAAGGACCAATGTGGCCATAAAATCTCCGTGAATTTTCATTTGCCGCGAGAAACCATAAAAACTCTTGGGGAGTGAATAAACAGCCCACCATAAATGGCCAATTCGAACAGACATCAAAATCTCCGTGTAACGCTCCCGCCGCTAGACCGTAACTACGTACCTACGTAGATTGTCCACCTCGTGATGAACTTCGATGGCTAAACACCAAAAGGGCATAATTCTGGTTTCTCGTTAAGATATGTTGTCATCTGACGGAAATAGGTCTCTGTGGACGGGCATAGTACGCATAGTACTGCGCTTTGCAAAAAGGAGGTAGTAAAGTGATGTCAGTTGGGGAAGAATTGCTCCTCCATGCCAATATTATTTCATTTATTTATTTAATATTAAAAACTACATTATTTATAGTTATCTATTTCAGTTGTGTTTAATACCGTTTTTCTTCTTCGGAAACTGTAGATGATCTAATCTGCTTAGAAAAGCTATATGAAAAAAGTATTTTGGGAGGGAGAGCTACGAGGTGTCTTCTGGAGGATGACCACACAAATGCTGTACGTGTTCCTGTTCTTTCTGAAGAACTTGTTCTACGGAACGGGTACTGTATGTGATTCCTGATCGGTTAAGTACCATACGCCTTGACTTATAGTTGCGCTAGAGCAGTAATAACTACAGTAACGTCGACCCACAGCACGGAATGTCAAGTTTTCCTAAGCGGGACATGGTAGGCGACAATGCTTTATGAGCGTGGTAAGGGGACAATGATGGACACATAAGTAAATGATTGAACCCTGGAAGAGCTGATTCTATGATCCTGCTACAGTCTACCGTAAATACCTCAAATCTCTATTTTTTGACGTTAGACAGTAATGAGATCTTTATTTTCGATTCTTCTCGGAAAATTGTCAGAATATCTGAAAAAAAAAGAAAAAGTGAAGAAAAGGAGAGAATGACAGGTATTTTTTGGATTTCCTGGGTAATAATGTGAAGGGTGTCCCATAGGTTCGGTCATGTTCGCTTTCGTGTAACACCAGTAAACAGAAAATTCCACTATAGTGTGAGTACTATAATCAGAAGTATAAGTCAGCCATATCAAATTTGTAAGCACCCATTAAAAGTCAAGATTCAAGTAAAAAAATAGGCCTTATGTCTTATGGTCTACCTCAGAAATATTTGGCAAAAAACAAAATATTTCTGAGGTAGACCATAAGACATAAGGCCTATTTTTTTACTTTTTTACTTTTTGCTTTTTGCCAATTATTTCTGAGGTAGGCCATAAGACAGGGTACATTGTTAGAAGAATTTGATTAGATCCATGAATAATGGTTGCTTCCTTGGAACGTTGTCATAAGAACGTGATTAATCGAAAAATCCGTCAAATTGCCGAGAACTTTTTGTACATTTCAAGAGACCCAGCTGACATAGCTTGAATAATGACCTGAACCCTCTCCAACATTACACCATAGTTCCAAACTAAAGAGAATTCGGTGCTGCGCAATGCGGAAGAGTTTTGGCCCGACCTTCGAGGAGAAAAACTGAAGAAATCCAGAAATCTATGTAGTCTGTGCTCTGTTGTGTTCGTCCGAGTTTAACCCGTTTTGGACACCAAATGGAATGTGTCGCAAGTGCGCGACGGTGTGAAAATGATGGAATCGTAGACGAAGGAAGACCTTGTTGGACACACTCGTGATTGGAAAGTTCAGGTACATTCGTCCGCACGGTGAGATCGCGAGGCTACGACGTCGTCGTCACCATTGACTTTTTCATTNAGGAGAGTTTTAGGTTCTCTACAACAAGCAATACATATGAGCCCAACAAGAATGGGAAACCTTTCCTACCTTTCTTCTTTAATGCTGGAGCAACTAGACCAGTTTTGTGTATTCCAAATAGATGAAGGATCTGGGATCAATTTCCTGAACAGAAATAGTCTCAAAGTGCAGACCGCAAAGTTACGACCTAAGTATTTCTTCCCGGAGCAAGATTTCGGGGTGGGATTTCAGTGATTTCTTCAAGAAGAACGAATCCAACCCAACCTACTTTTTATGAGTATTTTTACTCCTCAAGTTAAGTGAACTATCTTTTTACATGATTAATGTCCACATTGCTCTTGGACGGGTGGAAGTGGTGTAGTGGCAAGAAGCGCACTATCCCAACTGCATGCTCACGGGTTCGAATCCCGGGTCACTACCCGCCTAGACAACAAGACTTTCATCCCTCCAGGGTCGGTTCAATGGTACCTGTCTTGCCTGGGAGAGTAAAAGCACTGACTTTACCATCGGCTGGCCACCGCAAGTCACTGTTTAGGCCACTTGCGCATTCTATACACCACTACGATATACAATATATACGATTTCGAATGAAAATCGAATGCAGAGCGCCTTCCTTGGAGGGGATTCGTTGAGGTCCGAAGACTTTATCCTTCATCCTTTATTGCTCCAGAACAAGACTGTTAACTTACAGGGTTGGCGAGTTACGGGCGATACTTCGGCCTCGGACGGAACTCGAACCCGTGTGCTTTCCGGTCACCGTGTTGTTTATCTTCTACACTACCGGGACCTGTTTACTTACTTCTCGTTAATTTGGTTGAATATAGAAACTCAAATTACCGTATGCCTATTGACGCAATTTAATCAAAGTCTTGCATAGAAATAAATAAATGATGAAGGAGGAAAGGAAGAAAATTTGATTATTGAAAATGACGCACAATGGGGATCTACTGACGACCTGTTAACCGTCTGAAGCAGCTGCACCTTCTCGTTCTTGCGCTTAGCAGCCCCCATGGGCTTTTTTTCGCAGAAAATTCGTCACTCTCTAAAAAAGATGACTGGGATACCCGAAGAAGACAATGACTGCGAGACACGTCGAATTTCCCCCTTGAAATCTCGAGCTTTGATGCATGAAATCAACGAAAAATGAAACAATCTAGGGAGAAGAACGAGCAGACGATGTTGTTCAACCGTACTTTGCGACTGACAGAGAGACAATTTATTTGCAGGTTGATATTGTAAATGATCGGAGGTGTGAAGGACGAGATCATCAATCTAACGACATTACTTGGTAAGACGATAGAATGACATTACAGTCATATGGCATTAAAGTTCAAATTAAGCACGCAGCAAATATTCATGGCATTATACCGTTTTTTCACGAAAAATACCCAGAACTACCGTAATTTCTGATCAATAATTGGATCAAAGGGAAGTATTGCTAGGAGGTATGCCTATAGAATTTGTCTGAAGTAGGCCGGTATCGATAAAATGAGTGTGACGAACTGATACCTTTTTGTAGTGATATAAAACTGGTCACGGTAATTCTAGTATGTTGACCTAGTTTGTCGCGGCCAGACAAAATACCTGAGTACCTGGCGATGTCAGCTGGTGTCCTGGACTTGTTGCATGACTCCTAGCCTTGACAGGTTTGGTAAACGAATAGGGGGCAGGACGTAAAAGGTGCATGGCGTACCACAAAATGCAAGGGAAGTAAAAGCCTGTAAGTTTACTTAACGGAGACTCCCAGAAAATGGATGTTAAGGTTGAAGTGGGCGCGCCCCATTGTGCCTGACAAGCTCAGGAGTCTGATCCAATCAAATGGGTTGCAAAACCATCATTCACCACCCTATCCTTATGATTTAATCAACGTTCACTTTCGAGGAGTTTTAAATGTCAGTCATGAATAAAAAAAAGGAATTATTTGAATCTTATGGACATTTTCATAGAAGAAACAAGCCAATATATGTTTTTTATCAGGCGAAGTAAATTAACATTACAAAAAACATGTACACGAATATTTAGCGATTATATAAATGATATCACATCAATAACAGTAATATTATAAGATCTTCATTTCCTTAATTCCAAAATGCGCGTCGTTGGCAGCTCATAGGGACGGCATAAGAGCAGCAGGCTGAAAAATGATGATCGATTTTAATGTAAATTCCGGCTTGATGATTCTGTAGGAAGCGCTCCCATAACGACCTTTGTGGGTGACTCCGCCCATTGCGGATAGCTCCGCCCACTACAGAATTAACGCCATTTTAAGCGTGTTTCATAGAATATCATACCAAAGCACCTTCCACTTGACGATAGCAAATGATGTCCTTGAACTCTTCCACTTATGGCACATATTCTGTCTTAAACAGTCTCAGCGTCCCAGTTCCATTCTATTGACTTATCTGAGTTCTAGCTTCGGAATGACATAGCCCCTTCTTTTCCGGGAACACTCACACTAATACCAGATGACCGTACCCGTTAGGTCGTTAGGTGAAATGGTAGAAAGAAAAACTTCTGACCTCTCAACTGTGTATTACATAAGCCATTGACGATCGAGTTGAAGAGATTCATAGCTTTCATCGATGAGTCCAAACCGAAATCAGAATCTGTTAGCGTGTAGGTAACCTGAAATCGGGGAATCTGAGTTCCGAAAAATTCAATGAGTTTCTGCTGATTCTGATAAAAAATTACGAGTTTCCTGAAAAGATGAAACAAAACGAACCCCAATTTCTTTAGGCGCAACGTCAGCTGTGGCGCTAAGGAATACATAGGACGGATTAGCTGGACAGTCACTGCAATCCCAGCCCATCTTCCCATCTGTTTGGAACTCTTTCCAGACGTTCGTATATGACCTGAAAGTTGGAATTTCATTACGTTAGTAGAAAAAAAGGCAAATTTCTCGGAAAAATTAGCTCTGATCGGCTTACGCTAGGTTGTCCGAAACGATGAATACGACATTCGGGACCATGGGACGGTCGGCGTCATCGGAATAACTTCCACACCCGAATTGAGTTGCAATCAGAGAGAATAAGCTGAAAAGGAGAAATTCGTGGCTTATCTATCGGAATTGTCTTTTCAAATAAGCTCCAGTCTACCGACGTGAAAGGGGACATAATTGTTATTCTTGGAGCAGGAATATGAGGCGCTGTCATCGTACGTAAGTAAAATAGTTCAACCCTCGTTACAGCCATCTTCCGCCTGTTTCCCGCCAAATGTTGTTGTCCTTATTAGACAAGGCCAAACAGTTTATTCACATCTTAGAAACACTTCATGATTGAAAAATACTTATCAAGGGACTAGTACGAGCCCAAACAGATGTTGAGTGCATGGCGCACTCTTGATTGTGTCTCAGATTCGAAGAAACAAGAACGAAAACTCAGTATAATCATAGAAATCCGCTGTAATCCTGCTACTTCTAACCGTGAAAGTATGCAAACAGTTGCAAGGTAGTCACAAACAAAAACACAAACGTACACTGCTCTGGACCTCATAGCCCAAATTACGGTGAAAGCCCGGTGCTGAGCTGACATTCCTTTGCTTTTTCAAAAAAAGCTGCATTATCACAACCCATGAACCCACAATATTAATCGCCCACTCAAAAATCGATCGATATCGATTTCTTCACTTCATGTTCATAAACTGTGGTTATTTGGTACTGGTGACATTACCACAGAGGATTAGCATTCATAATCCCAAACGTGGCCATGTAAATGCCGTCGGGAGAGGACTATCAGTTTTGCTTAGCTTGATGTCTGACTGGAATGATAAGAGTGATATCATCGCATGGCTGATCGCTCAGCGACCAAACAAAAGCATGCTGCTTCCGTTGAGCGAACAGGACGCAAAATGGGGAACGTCACTCCAACGACAAATTAATTGCTGACTTAGCTGATAAGATTCTTTTCTCATTTCCAGTCAACTTATCTAGGCTTTTAATGAGGAAAAAAGCGACTTTTTCAAGTTTAATGGCCAATGAGGGCCGTGGATGTGCCGAATGAAGTTGGGACAAGGCTAGCACATTCCTTATTAGTTGATTTGCCATCTGAAAATCGAAGTTCAAACGTTCAATCCCTTCATGTGGATCGTCAAGCAGCGCTATAAACTTGCAGGAACCCCAGATTACCGTTGCTTTTTCTTTCACGGATTTGATTTCTACAGTAACCCTAAAATAATTTTGTCTACATAGTGCAACGTGAGTAATATACTCCATCTCACGACGCGTCGTAGAAGCAAGAAGGCTAACAATACAACCTACGACGAAGTTCATTATGCCGAGATTAATCGAGAGTCGGACGTGGGATATTTGCCCTTCCGGAAAGGAAGGTGATTGTATGATCTCGGGAGTCGTATATCTCATCACATGTCAACTGTGTGGGGAGGAATATGTAGGGGAAACGGGAAGACCACTCTGCATTAGGATAAAAGAGCATTTGGATGGGTTAAAAAAGTCTAGAAAGTCCACTCCTCTCGGTGATCACAGGATACAGCACCATGTGAATGAAGGTGTGACGGTCTCTGTTATGATACTGTCTCGTGAAGATGACATCTCAGCGCGAAAGACTCTGGAGGCACTGTGGATCGCAGCAAAGAATCCGAAAATCAACAGGAAGGACGAGTGCGTGGCGATTACCAGGGAGCTCGCGCCATTCGCAGACTTGTGTGGCTTTGATCTACACAGTCGATACCCCCGCGGGGGCGCCGGGGTAGGCGTGACGGGTGAAAATACCCAGACTCGCTGAAAAATCAATACCAGGGGCGATGCGCGACCACCGGCTGGGACCTGACCTCGTATGACCTTATTTAGTTGTTTGCATCTTGGGGGGTCCCCTGGAGTAATCCCTGACCCGACCTCTGAGTCCCAGCACATATAAAAGCGCCGTGAGGAACTTCGGGCTCAGGGTGCAGACAAACAGCTCCAGACGTTTACAGGTCAGCTCATCGCTTCTGCTTTACTTTCCCTTAGAGTTCTCTTCTTGTAATTTGAAATGATGGCCTACGTATCACAAATATAGTTTCGACTTACAGGCTCCGACGAAGGCGATATTGCCGAAACGTAAGCCGTGTTGATAAACTGTTATTAAAATCTCGAAAGGCTAATAATACAACCTACGACGAAGTTCATTATGCCGAGATTAATCGAGAGCCGGACGTGGGAAAGAAAGCTTTATTGATAAAGACATTTAATAATATTATGGCTCGACATTGGTAACTACCATTCAGGGATGTGGTGCATTAAGAACGAAATGGCTGCGTCGCGGTGAAAGGGGCGTCGCGCGCGAAGGAATGTAGCAGGATGTAGCAGTAGGTAAGAAATACAAGAACAAAAGAACTAACAGTAGAATTATGTATAAAATAATGATCGT